TATATATATATATATATAATTTATGATGTTTTTAAAGACTGACAAAGAGTCATGAGGTTCTACAGGAGTCTGGTATATCATTTCCTGTTTTATAGTCACATGGAAAAAATGGCTTCCTGCATGTTGGCGATTATATACTGGCTTATTTAGCAATTGAAAAAATATTTTTTATATTTAAATTTCAAATATTAAAATGACCTTAAAACCAACTTTAAGAATAAATTATTTATCAAACACAATTTCAAATATTTTTTAAATATTTACATTTCAAATATCAATAATATTTTAAAACAAAACTTAAACTTTCAAATATTTAAATGTCAAATATTAATAATATTTTATAAATAATACAAATACAAAAAACACTACACTTTAAAAAAAAAACCTCTTAAAACATTGTCATTTTTAAGTCATTGTATGTATGAAATGCATTTATCATTTTTATTTTCCTTTTTTTCTTTCTTCTTTTTTTACAATAAATTAGCAGGTCTAGAGGGGGGAAAGTGTCATGTCAAAAGCTTTATAAACAATGTAAAGTAAAAAAATAAATAAATTTGTACTTTTAACCTGTCATAGAAAACCTTGATCTGTTTTCAATGTCAGATTAATTCTGATAATCTAAAAAACCTTTATCAACCAGCAGTGATATGGTCTCAAATATACTGTAGATCCTTAAGGAAAATGCAAATGAACTTAGAAGTATCAATCCTTTGCATATGTCTCTTCCCTCACATATCTGTACAGAGCCACAGCAAAGCTTGGTTTATCCAATCACAACAAGCCTAATGAATTGAATTAGTTGAACGACTGATTAGAGGGACTCAAACTCCATCCCTTCTGCTCTCCTGTAGGACTGAAGCTCAGCAACGAGGCTTCATAGCGTCGCTGAGTCATACGTTGAGCCTGATGCCACATCATTACACAACCTTTCCTCAATTCACTCCGAGACCAGACTATTTTTTCCATCTGTGTGCACTGATCTGAAGCTCTACAGCATAATAATCTGTTCAGGTGCAGAATAAACAACCCCATAATGCTTTGGATGGCTCATAGTTTTTCAAAGCGTGTACATGCATTTCATCAGCCAGATATCGGTCATATCGGTTGCAGACCACATTTTGGAGAAAGATTATGAAGACAAATGTCTTTTTCCCCCAAAGGACGGCAAGATTTATGCTCCATCGCCACTGGGAAGCTTCTATATTTTGACAAATTAAGCAGCGAAACACTGCTGAGAGAGCGAGGGGGTTTGAAAGAGATGCCATCCTGCTCCTTAACTTTAACATTTCCTGTGCTGGAGACACAGAATGAGCCCACCTTCCCAAAAAAACCCTCTTCCATCACAGGAAATGAAGTGGTCGGTTTAATCATGCTATATAGGGTTGGCGAGTCACAGCGACAGGGGGCGGGATATCTTCCAGTCCAGTCAGGAAGCCAGAGAGAACAGCCATTTCCTGTTTTGCTGAGTCCCCTTTAGATTTCGGAGTGGTCAGAACTGCAAAACATCAGAACTATGGGCTAATGATTTTTATTTTGTTATTATTTATATACTATTAAAGTATTTATTTACTATTTAGATACTGTTTATTCATTTGATTTGATAGTTTTTAATAGTTTCAGTTCACAATGACAACACCGTTCCAAAACAATGACTTTTTAATTAGTAATTTTGTTATGTGCTTTTTTTTTTGTTTGTTTATTTTTTCCATTATTTCTGTTTATTTTAGTTTTAGTCTTAATTCTTCAACTTAAACCCATTTTATTTCAGCTAGTCACCAAGGCAACATTACTAATTTTTACTAATTGTTTTTTTATATTTTATCATGTTTTTATTTTGTTTTTCATTTTATACTTATTTTATTTCAATTACGGAAAATAGTCTTTAATAGTTTTGGTTTACAATAACAACACTGTACCAAAACAATGACTATTATTTTACACTTGCTAGCTTAATTGTTTGAATAAACATCTGGATAATGTATCTATAGAGGATATACTGTCATCACACTAAAATTACAACAACGTTCACAGATTCTTTGCTGGTTTCAGAATGAACAAGACTGACTAAGGAAAATAACCCTCACAACATGTTCTGGTTTGCTGACAGATCTCAGCTTGGCTTTCACAATCAGAGATTTTCAAAACCAACCCAAACCTCAAGGACTGGAAATATTGTTGAGAAGAGTTGTACAAAAACAGGCAGGCTGTGGGGGTTTGAAGGCGGCCAAGAATCAATACCAACCTGTTTGCTGTCGACTTCGATGTCTGCAATGTAGTTCTCGAACACAGTAGGCACATAGACTTCTGGAAACTGGTCTTTGCTGAACACTATGAGGAGACAGGTCTTCCCACATGCTCCATCTCCTACGATCACCAGCTTTTTCCTGATAGCCGCCATACCTGGGAGGAAAAAATAAGATTCGCTATAACAACAAATGGCTCCATGTCATAAAAAGACTCTTTTATTTTTATCTTTGGAAAATAAGAGTTCAATGTAAAATATAAACAAGTTGGGTTCCAGTCCAAAAAGACTGACTGCAACCAAACGGTTCTTTTGATTTGGATCTTTTCCAAGAATCAGTTCACAAAACTGGCCTAAATGATTCGTTCATGCATCAGTCCTCACTCTCATGAAAGAAGATCAAGAAATTTCCATCTGTTAGTCACTTCAAACTATCTTATTTATTCAGAAGTCATATTTGGATCACTTTTAGGATACGTTTATGGTGTTTTCCTAGGAACAGCTTCATAGATTAACTTTCATTATTTATAAGAGTGGCCAGGAAATTCTTCATAAATTCAACACAGAACTACAACAGTTCTTGATTGGTCCTCCAAAGCAACACAAAAATAACTTGTGTTGCTCTGTTTTTAAATTGTAGCCCAATGTTTTCTTTATCATTTAGCCATATGTTGTGCACCATAACAGAAAACAGACCTGAAGGCACATGAATGCTGCTGAATCAAAAGCAGATGAGGAAAACGTGTGTAAGTAAACATGATATGAACATCTGTTTAACATGAACCTGATACCAAACTCACCCTGCGGACACGATCCTCATGGGCTACAAAACACACATCAAAATACACGCAAAGGCTTCTGAGCCCAACCAAACCTGTCAACATCTTTCAAACAATCATCTTTTATTGTAATCGCATACAACGTTCTTACAGTTTGATTTCAGCCTTGTAGTATGTCGCACTTATTCAGCAAACCCAATTTTAGTCACATCTGCCATTTGGCGAGTGTTCATTTTGGATGCATTCACAGTTCAAATCAATTCGCACTATAAACTGCAAGTTGTCAGTTTGGCGGAAGAGGAAAGCATTTACTCATAATCAACTTAGCGAGATCTCTGAGGAGCATGTATTATCGCATTAATCTGTCATGCATTTGATCGCCAACATCAATTTCTACACTAACTCGCTTGCTTATAGGAGCTAGTGGTAGTGTGATAATTCTGGGGAAGACGTGAGAGAGGTCGTGCTTGGGTCTTTATATGGGCGATGAGGGAGATTTGTCCCGCATCCATGATGAATGTGTGCCAGTAGGAAAGCACAGCTGTGCATTTCCTTCCAAGCAGCCCAACGCTCATCTATCCTTCCTTAGTAATCTCACACTCTTCTCCACTGTCTGGGCTTATGTTAACACGACCACTTATCAACAGGCCTCCATCAGATTGTGCTTCCTAGGAGCAGAAAGAACTTTATTTTTAGTATGGCCTCTCTCACACGAAGCTTCATCCCCCCACAGGAAACACAGGGCTTTAGTTTCTACTAAAAGAGAGAGAGCACAGGGAAGACTTTAGAAATTACTGGAGAAAAGAAATTGACTAAATCATATGAATTTGTTGCTCTATTGCGATACTACACAGAACAAGTTTGGAGTATTATTTTATTGAGAAAAAGCAATATTATTATTAATATTATTATAATTATAATTATACACACACACACACACACACACATATTAGTGCTGTCAAATGATTAACCGCATCCAAAATAAAAGTTTTTGTTATATGCATATATATCATATTTAGAAATCTTTTTTTTAAAAACTGAAGGAAACAATAATATATAATTCTGTGCATGTTAAATCAATTAATTATCACAAGAAGTTAACATGGTAACTTTGACAACCAAACACCACTAATAATACTAACTTTCATTTACTATTTCCATGTAAATAGGCCTTTAACTACTGTAGTGATTCATGTGTTCAAAACACTCAAATGAGTCATCTGAAAAATGCCTTTACAATTATTGACAAAAGATAAGTACACAAATACAGGTAATTCAGGTTACAAAAGCAAACTGAAGGAGCTTTAAACGCCTTGAACCATTGGTAAAGACTAAGTTCTTTGCAGAATAAGAGAGAAACTCAAATCCATGTGAACAGCGCCGGCTTAAATATGCTTCCTGTGACAAATCTGGACAAGTCCCAAAGTTCTTCTAAACAAACATCATTTTTAGTAACAAAACTAGAACAAGTTGCTAGTTGAGGATGAGAGGACTGTCCAACTAATCCCAAACACATCTGTTTTTTCCATTCAAACTACATAGTAACTTGCAATATAATATATTATTGCAGTTAACAGACAAATACTCCCCATGGCCTAAGGTTTTAAGGTTACACAACCAGAGCAAAGTCCTCAAATGCAAACTCCAACACTTGAAATGTCTCCAAAAACTGTTTGTAGGAGCTTACTGATCAAAGTCCAAAACTAATGTGTGAATGGATAAAACTAAAGTACTGTACTTGCCAGTTGGCTGACAACTTTAGAAACATTTTATAGTTTAAGTTGAACTGTAAGAATGACAGTTTGACTCTTGGTGACGTAAAATGACGAGTTAAATTAACAAAATCTGTCACAACTTACAACCCAAAAATGAAATTTCTGTCATTAATTTTTCACCCTCATGTCGTTCCGAGCCCATAAGTCCTTCGTTCATCTCCGTAACACAAATTAAGATATTTTTGATGAAATCCAAGAGCTTTCTGACCCTGCATAGTTAATTGCAGTATTCTCGTAGCTTCATAAAATTACGGTTGAACCACTGATGTCACATGAAATATTTTAACAATATCTTTACTATGTTTCTGGGCTTTGAATGTGTCAGTTGCATTGCTGTCTATGCAGGGTCAGAAAGCTTTCGGATTTCATCAAAAATATCTTAATTTGTGTTCTGAAGATGAACAAAGGTCTTACGGATTTGGAACGACATGAGAGTGAGTAATTAATGACAGAATTTTCATTTTTGAGTGAACTATCCCTTTAACAACAGAACTTTGCATTAAAAATGGCATAAAACCACCAAAACAACAATGAATGAAATCATGTTTTTATGGCATGAGGGACAGATGGCCTATATATGACGCTGCGAGTAACACAACGACCGCATGAACACCTCATCAATGCTGAAGATAATAAACTGAAGAGATCTGGTTTAGGTAAACAGTGATAACGTTTGTCTTGGTTTGCCTTCCTTGTATCCATCAGAGTGTGTAGGAGAACCTCTCTCCCAATTCACTGCCAGGTTTTCTCATGTAAGGGGGGGGCTGTGTATGTATGAATTACCACCGTTTTGCCGCGTTTCTCTATTAACAGTGAAGCTGTGGATTTAATTCCTTTAGAAACAATGATGTTTGCAATGACCAGCTCCTTGTTGAGAAAAAGAATGTAGCTCTTCATGCGATTTATCGTGCAGCCCTAGTATATATATATATATATATATTAGGCTATTATATCGTATTATAATAGCATTATATAGTGGTTCAACGCATGACACCAACTTGACCAACCAACAGTTAATAAGCTTTGGATTTAGGCAGCGCTCAGTCCTTGTCATTTCCCAACAAGCCTTGTTAATTAGGGATGCACCGAATATTCTGCCGAAAATAGCAAAAAAATCTCTTTCATTGTTCGGCTGAATAAGCGAAAAGGCCGAATAATATGTACCGAACAATGACGAGCTCTATTAATTAGGGATGTAACGATTCACTCAACTCACGATTCGATGCGATTCACGATTTTGATTTCACGATTCGATTCACAATTTTTTTTTTTTTTTTTAAATGAGATTTAAAAACAAATTATAAATTAAATGTGTCCTTTTATTATTGCTTGGACAAAAT